AAAAAAAAAAAAAAAAAAAAAAAAAAAAAAAAAAAAAAAAAAAAAAAAAAAAAAAATGTAACCCCACACAAATGTTGCATTTTACAGAATCGGCGGCGCTCGTCCACGATCGTTCCTTGGAGAGGAAATATGTCTTTCAATAGTTAAAATTCGATTTTTCATCCAATAATATTACACGCTTTTAAGCTTAGATTTTTTATGATAATCTTGATTTGTTCACAAATAATACGATTGTAAGATGCACCTGTATGTAGATTTATGTGTACAAAAGTATTGTCAAGAGCATAGATCAATTTCGATTTTGCCCAAAAATTTTTTTAAATAAATCGGACAATCATGTATTTGTTTTCAAACAAAACAGAGCTTTATTATATTTTTCACACCTATACACTCGTAACAGTAGATAACACGTATTCTTAGTTGTAAAATTTTTTTTTTCTATCGTTCATACAATCGTCGCATTGAAAGCATAAATGCACATAAATCGTTGCAGTGTGTAACGATATAGTTGCACCACATCACACCGTTTATACATGGTTGACGTGTCCAGCAAAAACTTGTGCTCGAATATAGGTATTATTGTATAGCCCTATTGCTTCGACAATCCTGCTTTATCTAGATGTAAGAAGATTAAATAATAATAATAATAATAATAATAAATGTCGTCTGAAAAAATTCATCACGAGGTAAATTCTAAGTTTAAAAAACTAAAATTTAATACTGTCTATTATTATAGCTTTTAAAGGCAGTTGCAGTACGCAACCGCGATAACAATAATACTTTTTAACTGTACGTCTTAAAAAATACTAGTAATTATATTCCATTAGTTCGCTTGAAACGTTTCGATTTCGTTTTTCAACGTTTCTATTGCTAAATCATTGCTCTTTTGCTCTTTGAAACTAAATTAACAATTTTCTTATTGCAATGCTATAGATGAATCGAACCGAGCGAGTTTTTCGTTTTTGTCCACGAGATTCTGCTTCACTTACATAACGTAAAGATCACGTCCCAAAATGATTATTTATATTTAAGTATGACGCTGTGTCGATTCTGGATTCGAATAATCCTTTAGTCGAGGGACATTACTGATTCTATCGAAGATCGGCTTCTGGACTGAGGCAGTAGCGGCCCGCCCAAGTAACTCACTGGGTTGGCGAAGGTGCGCTGATCGGATGATAAAAATATTGATCCTGGCTTTGAGCTCCTCAAGTTTCGCACAAAGTTTACAGCTTGAAAGTTATATGAAAAATGGTACTAGTTCGTTGCTTTCAACATTTATTCATCCATTTCCAATTCAACTAACCTGTCGTGCTGCTCCACGTAGCTGGTTGATGAGTATCACCAGTTTTCTTCAGATCCTAAGCATCAAGCATAGTATACAGACTTGTTTAATTTTTTATCACTCGTTTTCACAATATTTGTATCACGTGTAAGTTTTTGTGCTGGTGTAAAAGCAAATCTTACAGGAAAAAAAAAAACAAAACGCATATTCCTGGTGGTGCAACCATACTACGTAGCGAGGGTTTGTTAATAATTGCCTCTTGAATTGAAACAAAAATTATAAGCATACATATATACAGCCAGTTGAAGCGTGACATGCAATAAAATAAATAAAATGTTAAATTTCATAATTAATTTTATTGAATATGTTTATCAGTCAAAATGAGAAATCAAAATGTGAACAAAAAAAAGTATTATAAACTATCGAGTAATTTGATCGTGTATATTATAACACTCATTGGTTCTGTAGCCTTAAATTTTTACCATAAAAACATGCTTTTTCTTATTAATTACTATATACTATCATTTAAGGTTATCATATATACATTCAGCATACGCATGAAAGATCATTTGCACGTTTGTTCGTATTTTTTATTGTTCGCAAATAAAATTTCTTCAAGTCTTTTAATAAGTATTCAATATACTTTTTTTGGGTGTACCTTTAGCAATCACTGGCGTTATCTGATTCGTCGTGATTAGTGAAAATTGACTTTAAACAAATGACGTTGTCATCGAGACTTGTCAGAGACGATGATTTTTTCATCTGAAACGTGTTTTTCGTCAAATTTCACGAAAACTCCATGTTTTTGTGAATTTAATTTTATATGTGTAGGAAAAAAAAAAAAAAAAAAAAATTAAGGCTGCGTCTGAACTTTACCATAAGTCTGCTGCACGAGTGCTCTGTGAATCTGGCACTTATCACCAAAGCATGTTATGTGTTATGACGCCCGCGCGCATACGGAAATATATATATATATATATATATATATATATATATATGTGCTTACTATTAGTGTAAAAACTATTATGCGTAAAACATGAAATGCTCCATGTAAACTTAACACAAAGTTTGCCGTGTTATTTCACTGAATATTTATACAAATGTTTCAAAAGTATAAGCGGGAGATACATATACATAAGTTAATACGTGTGTGCGTTTTTATACTCTATTAAATAAGTATAGTAAATGTTTCACAAAAAAATGATTAATTTACTTTTAAGTATCCACGATATCATAATTATTAGTTTGAAAAACCAAACTATATAGGTACAAGTTAATATTATGAAGCATTTACTTTTATTGAGAAACAAAAATAAATATCAAAGCACATTGCAAGTAATGGGAGTGTGATTATTATTATTATGATTATTGTTTTCGGGGCGTCGATGTGTGTTAAAAATGATTGGAAGATCATCAACGTATACGAGTATGTGGGTATAAATTGTCACCTTGAGCACAATGGCCGAACAATAAAAACGAATAACGAATCTTAATAAAGACAAAAGTCGAGGGGTTCTGATGACAACGCAGGAGGCGAGGAGGGGATCAAACTCGACGAGCAAAGGTTGAAACGGGGCTTGTACGTAATGATACGATGGGGATGGAATAAAAGCTCAATCGGCGCTCGGCGAGTCGAGCATCTTGGCGGTGACTTTCTCGACTATCATGCTGCCAGGGCGGGGTCGCGACTGCGGCTTAAAGGTCGTAAAAGTGCTGTTAAGGTGGAGGCTCACGGGCCTGCTGGGAGGCAAGTTGCCGTCGCGGTAGTCATCCGGGACGCCAGCACCACTGGCCGCGATATCGCACTGCAGGACGATCCGGTCCTCGTCCTCGCACTGGAGCTGTTCGGTCCGGATCTCGTTGAGGCCCGTCACCGAAAAATTTGTCTGCAGAAGAGCCCTGCGCCCCGGTAGCCTGCTCCCCCCGTTTTTTGGTTTCGTGCCAAGCAGAGGCACCGACGCTCCACCTTTGTCTTTGCTGCTTCTTACCGGTTGCTGCTGCTGATGTCCATTCGCACTCCCCGTTTTGGTCTCCTGCTCGTCCGTTTCTCCGTTCTCGTCCTCATCGTCCTTGTGCTGTTCCAGTTGCTCCTCCTCTTCGAGCTCCGGCTCTTCCCTCAGATCTTCCATCGACTAAAACACGAAACGAACTGTTTAACCGATTTCCTCCCAACGATTTTTTCATTCAATTCTTGGGATAAAAGAGCAGATGTAAGCATTTTCCTGTATAATAGTTAGGCGGAACATTTCTATCAATGTCAGGTGTATTGTATGCGCAATACATGGATTACGTGCTTGAAGCAAACGAGTGCAAATGCAGTGCATTACTATATTAAACATGTGCAGTTCTACCGGTGATTATTAAATACATATACTATATGTTCCATTTGTAACGAGCAATAATTATATCCATTAGTACAGAGCTGGCGTGCATGCAACAGCTCGCACATACTATGTAGGTCAAACGAAGTACCGGAGGACGCAAGTTTTGAAAAGGGCATGCTGTAGAACGAAAGCACCTCGAAAGCCCAGAATCCAAATAAAACGATCGAGCAAGAGTATAACGGGTGAAGAGAGAGGGGGTGGGGAGAGCAAATAAAAAAACGAAAAGTCTTTACAAATGGATTGAGTTTCACGGTAGGTTTAGTCACGAGTCCTGTATTTACCCCGAGGAGTTCCTTCTTCTCGGCTTCTTCGTCTAAAACAAATGTTGTAAAAAACGTATCCTTAGAAAATCACCAGCTGTGTTGTTTATTGAAGGAAAAAAAAAAAAAACAGTAACAAGTTGTATGTACTATGTATGAGCATTGGGGTGGAATAACCTTTAGCGAGACTTCTCTTGTCGTTGGTGTTGTTAGTGGCAGTGGGCTCAGCTCCGGGCAGGGGCTTGTAGTCCTTGGCATTCGGGGCCGCAGTTTTTATCGCGTGAGTGCCGTTGGGTCGCTTGTCGTCCGCTGGGCCGTCAAGGTTCTTGAAGCCGACGCTCTTGCTACCGGGAGGCCCCCCCACCTCCAGCCCGTAGCCCGGCCAACGCTGGGAGCCCGAGCCCGCCGAGCCCGAGCGCGAGCGTTGCTGCTGCTGCTTGCGCCTCCTGCTCGATTGTCGCGCGCTGCGAACCATTTCGTAGCCGCAGCCGATCACCGCCACCGCGAACACGCACACCAGGGCTATGAAGATGTACGTGCCCGCCCCCTGCTCCTCCTCCGTCTCGTCCGAGTAGAAGGACTTGTAGAGCACGCGCTTCGGCGGGTCCTCGCCCCAGGAGCGCTCGCGGCTCTGCAACCCCGTTTAACCATGGTTACATACATATGTCAGGGTTGATGAAAATAAACAAAAAAACACTCACGACGCTGTCGTTCTTGGGTGGCTCGAGGCCCCGGGGTTGCGTGTGAAAGACCGCGCACTGGGCGCTGCGTACGCCGGCCGGGGCCATCACTCGCACCGTCTCGCTTCCCTTCTTCGTGAATAGCATGTACTCCTCGAGAGGCTTCATGCCCACTCGGCCGTTTATCGACACAACTACGTCTGATCGCCACAGTGAAAATCATGCGTTTAACACGCGATAATACCATATCATATTCTTTTTCTAAGCTATTTTTTTTTTTTTTTTTCAAAATTCGCGCCTAACCTTGCCGGCAAATTTATGAGTGCTGAGGGCCCTACGATCCGACAGATCGCGCACTGTAGCGGTGTAGCCAAGAGAAAATCTCCAACAAGTTGTAACTGTCAAATGTCTCCAGTAGGTAGTGTACTGGCTTATGTATATTCAATACGACACCAATAAACGAAATTAATAATAAAAATCTCCAACAAGTATATATTATGTATATACTTTTTTTTTTTTTTTTTTTATATTCATCATCGCCCCTTGAGGGCTCAGACACGGCTATTTTGACACTATAAAGTGTATTTAGCCATACGTTGGGTTTAATAACAGTAGGGGGAAACGGTAGATAGATCGGTAGGTTTATTGAAGTACAAATCTCATCCAGAAAAAAACCTCATTCATTGATGAAATTTTTGCCCAGAGTGGGATTTGAACCCCGGCCATCAAGATCTGTAGGCAGACACGCTACCGACAGAGCCATCATGTGGCTTATGTATATACTTAACTATAACCCAATAACTTGTAGATATAGGTATACTTGGTGTAGGTGATTTTCTCCCTTAGCTACAGTACGCCATCTGTCGGATCGTAGGGCCCTCATACGTACTGCTCAGGCAGCCGGTGTAGCCCTTGTAGGCGCGAAACCTCTTGTCAGTCGTGTTTAGTCCGCCGAGTTGAATTTCCGTGGTGCCGGGACCGTCGTCGTCCTCGCCGCCCTCCCCATCCTCGGGCGGATCGTCACCGGCGTTAAGTGCGGGTAGGGGTTTGAGCTGTATCGGTTCCCGGTCGATCAGTAGAGTCGCCGTGTTGTTGTCCCGGACGTAGTAGATGCTGTGCCGAGCACCGTTTGAGAAAGTTCTGTCGTTGAGCCGGACACCGAAAGCCGAGCCCTCCCGGTCCTCCTCAAAGATCAGCTGGCCCTCGGACGTCAGTGCCACGAGGAGGTAGTAGCTCCTCCTGTGAAGGGCATCGACAACAACAATAATCGTTACAATAGCGTTACATTTCAAGTAGGTGTACAAATCAATTGTACGTTTCGACCTACTTGTTTTCCGTTTGCACGAGCAGTAGAGCGGAGGTTCGTTGCCGGTCGATCGTCGAGAACGCCAGCTGTACCTTTATCTGGTTGACCTCGCCGTCAAGGTCAAAGTCCCTCTGCAGGGCGCTCTCGCCGCTGAAGTCGGCTCCCTTTTCTGTAAGTATAGCATCCGATATCAAATGAGTATAGGCTATAGGCATGTAAAATATAGAAAAACAAACAACACGGCTGAACGACCCACCGTCGGCGCAGTGCTCCCCAAAGTACGAGGTTAGCTCGCAGTTGCAGTAGGCCTCCTGTTTGCCAAAATCCTCGGTGCAGATGCCCTGGTTCTTGCACGGCACGGCGTCGCACTTCATGTGGCAATTTGGCAGAACGCCCCTGCTGCCCTCGTGATTGGCCTGGCTGGCCAAGTTGGGCAGATCGACGAGGTACTGGCCGATCATGAGGCCCCGCAGGCAGCCCACGTAGCCCTGGATCAGGTGTCCGACCGTCCCCACGCGAAGCAAATTGTCCGGATCGAAGCCTCCAAGGTTCACCTGGAAGTAGTCGGTTGGCGGGGCCGGGGGCCTCTGAGGCGCCAGGATCTCCTTTTCGGGATTGATCCAGGGCTTGTTGGAGTACGCCTCGAGGAGGAGGGGCACCGCGTCGAGGGTTATGTTGTGATCGTTGACGTGCAACGTTGTCGTCTTCTCGGTACGGATAATCGCGATTTGGACGGATATGCCCGTATTGGCGGCCGGGTAGTCGATGCTTATGTTCTTTATCTCGTTGCCGGCGTTGAACAGGTACACGATCTTCGTGCCGTTGGACAGGTACAGGTGGGCAAAGTTGTTCAAGTGATCGTTGGCGTAGAGTATCAGCGAGTTCGTGTCGTACGTCCGCAGATTGATCAGTATGTTCTTGACGAGCATGCTCTTCAAGAGGACCTTTTCCTCCTCCTCCTCGCTCGAGCTGAAGTAGTTCTTTTTCAAAAAGGCCCCGGGTGACGTGAACGTCAGAGCTTTGTTGTTGATGTCTGCGATAGGACAAACGTCACCTTATACACATCCATGCAGGAAGGAAAAATGAAAAACATTCACATGGTTTTCCTATAGCTACTCACTCGTCTCGCAGTAGGTGCCCAAGTGGGCCCAGCGATTTTCACACACGCACGTAAAGTTGCTCCAGAGCTCGACGCATCGGGCATTGTTCTGGCACTTGTTCGGCTGGCACGATGGCTTGCAGTCCTTTATGATTTCCGACAGGTGTACCGACATGTAGCTGTGGATGTCGAGGATCTCCCCGTTGACCACCAGACCTCGGAAACAACCGATCAGTCCTTGTTTCACCGACGACGTCTTCAAGTGCTCCCTTGAACACAAATGTTTACACGTATTTTACTGCTGAGCGCACTCTGTATAATATATTATACTTGCGCCATGTAATTAAATAATAATATCTTGTTTGTTGTTGATTGTGTGTCTTACGCGGTAGCGCCGCCAATGAACATCGAGCCCTCGAAAGGACCGAATTCCTGTTCGGGCAGCAGGTCGACCATCTGAAAGTCCGTGTTTATCATGAACCTCACGTGGTAATCGTTGTAGTCGATCCATATCTTCTGCCACTCTCCGTTGTTGAGTTTTCTGCGGCTCTTGACCTCGAGCTCGCGTATTGTTCCCGTGTTCAGGGTAAAATTGAAGGTCAGCTTGTAATCGGAAGCTAGTGCCACCATGAAGGACGGATAGTTGTTGCGGATGGGCGGCTGGTAAAGGAGAATGGCCCTTTCGCCCGTAGTCCGGAAACTGAAGGCGATGTCACCCTTCCTCCAGCCCGGCACTTCGATGTACGACTGCGAGGTCGTGAAAGTTACCACGTATTTTTGCGTGTCTATATACGTAACACAGTGTTAATTACCACCAAGCGAATCAAAAGTTGATGAGATTTGTGTAGTTGTACGTGTATTTATATATTTACTCGTTTCAACGCATTCGAGGGGCCCGAGCGTCAAGCGGCCCAGCGCGTCCTCCTCGAGATCCCTCTGCTGGAGAAAAACCATACCTGTGATGCCCAGGGACTCGGGGGTCTCGTAGTAACCCTCGTCGGAGAGCCACTTGCCGGCCGACACGTCGCAGTTGCAGCTCAAGTTTGAGTGGACGCAAGTTCTATTGACTGTAACAATTCAAAACAACAAAACATTAAATTTATTATCGTTGTAGGGTACATTAAGTGACATAGCATGTAGCATGACAGACCTCCACAGGGACATGAGCCGCGATTGACGTTGCCTATGTAGTCGACGGTAGTGCCCTTCGAGCTCAAAAACCAGGTTGCGCTGTGGAGCTCCAGCGGAGCCTTGTAGCAGTCGTACTTGACGTACTGGCTGCAGTAGAGCGAGTGAGATATCAGCTCCTGCAGCATTTCCGCCGTGAACTGTATGTAGGTGATGTTGAAGGAAAAGTCCGACTCGGCGATCGAGCGCACGTCCACTTGGGACGGTAGGTTGTGCTCGACTATGGTCTTGGTCGAGTCCTCGATCGACTGGAATTCACACTTGACCAAGGCCGGTGGGAATCTCCCATTTCCATCAATGTCGATCCTATACACGTCGTCCTTGGTGTAGCCCAGCAGAGCCAACTCCTCGCACGTTTTTCTGTACTGAGCTGTCGTGGAGTAGTATCGTATAGCGTTTTGCAATCAAGCTTAAGGGTATACGCGATAAAACTAATATACTATAATTATGTTACCAAAGTGACAATTTTTCCCTATGTATCCGGTATCCGTGCAATCGCAGGTGATCCTGTCCTCCTTGACCGAGCACTTGCCCCCGTGCTCGCAGGTATTCGGCCTCTTGCAAGGATCGACAAATTGACAATTGTCGAGCGCCACTTCCCCCACAACTTTTTCCGTGTTTATGATGAACCTGGGCTCGATCCTCTGGTCATTGACCATTATTTCCCTCATGCATCCGACCAAGCCTGTAATCATTCCCAATATTTGTTGCTGATGAAGGGGAGGGTTAAAAAAAAAAAAAATGTGTCTACCGGCGTTCCCTTTGCCACTGCCGATGATGACCCGGTCGCCCAGCTCGAGATTCATCTGGAAGAGCTTGCTCTGCTTGTTCCGATAGTCGACGAGTATGCTGAGCTCCTCTTTGGTGTAGTTGAGCTCGACTGCGTGCCAGGACGTGTTGGCGGGGAACTTGACGGGCACCGTGACGGTGACGTTTTCCCCCAACACGGGAACCAAGTGGAAGCGGATCTCGTCGTTGACGACGCGCAGCTCCCAGTACCCAGGGCCGTTCTCGCTCTTGACGTCGCCCGAGGCCACCACGGCTATCGGCTTCGAGCTCTTGAAGTCAAAGTTGAGCTTCAGATAGTCGGTGTTGTATATGGGCCACCATATGTGACTGCCCGCGAATGGATAAGTTATGGGCACGACCTCGACATCGTCCTCGTAGTATTCCGGCTCGAGGACGCCGATGTAGTGGACCATCGGGTTGGAACGCTTGAGCTCGTAGATGATGGACTTGTCGTTGAAAAAGACGTACTTGAGCGAGCCGGCAAAGTTGTTGCTCGACACGAGGCCCTCCTTTTTGTGCAGCTCGGGCCCACCCCCGATGTATATCTCCGGGTCTATGATCATGTTGTAGTTGTCCCCGGGCACCTCGAGCATCTTTACCTCGTCGTTGAGGCTTATGTACACGAGCGACACCTTGTGGAATATCGTCAGGTTGTTCCAGTAGTTCATGCTCACGTGGTGCCCCAGGGCCGTTTGGATCTTGGAGTTGTGGCCAAAGTCGAGCTCGACGACGACCGTGCCGTTCAGTATGGACGCGGCGACGTAGTGCGCCGTCCCGTCTATCTCCCCCGAGGCGTAGAACAGCGCCGAGTCGTCCCATTTCGTCTGAGTTGGACCGACAAAAGGAATTAAAATTTTTGTTTTTTTCATTCAACCAGTAATTGTCATCTCACCTTGAACGCGAGGCTGATTCTGTTGACCGACGAGTGGACGCGATCCTTCCAGTCGTACACGCGAAAGGAGACGTACGAGGAGCCACGAAGCGTCAATATGGTGGCAGCTAAAAATAAAACGGTGGCATTTAATTTGGCCCGTTTTCACTTACAGGTATGTACGTGTGCAGCATCGGTGTACATCGCAATAATTAATGTACAGTTGTCGTTGGGGCAATTGACACCTACTGTAAACGTCGCACCTTTCTCCCTCGTACTTTGTGCCGAAGCAGTCGCAAGTCAGACTGTTGTAATGGTTAACGCACTGGCTGCCCAGGAAGCACAGGTTCTCCCTCGTTTTGCACCTCAAGAAAGAACAAACAAATTTTAAATGGCAATCATCAGCGGTCCGTGCTCTGTATACATAGTTGAGTTAACATCATCAATGTTGCTTCGACAAAGATACATACAAGTTAAAGGTGCGAAAAAAAAAAAAAAAAAAAAAAAAAGAGAAAGTTACTTGTCGATGCAGCCCTCCTTGACGTTCTCGTGCTTGGTGGCGATGAGCGGCCTAATGGGCAGCAGATCGCTCGCCGATTTTCCCGAGCTCAGCACCATGTCGCGTATACAGCCCACGAACGACTCGATGATGTATTTGACGCCGTGCAGTCTCTCCTCCGAGCTCAAGCCTTACAAATAAATAAATATAGGATAGCAATATAAATAAATATAGAATAAATATGGCATAGTATATAGGATGTACCCGAAGTATGCGAGGAGAAGGAAAATAAAAAAAGGGCCCGACAAACCTCCGATCAGAACGACAGAGGCTAGCTCCTCGGAGACGCCGTAGTTGACGATGTGCTCGAGCACCTCGACGGAGGTCTCGGCCTGCTTGTCGTCGACCCTCGCGATCAGCTTAGCCCCGTGCACGTCGATCCTCACGAGGACGCTGTGCCACTCGTCCCGGTTGAGACCCTCGCCGACGGTCAGGCTCGTCGAGTTTTTCCCAAACACGTGGACCACCTTTAGCTGACCCTTTTCCACTATCACGTACAGCGCGTACGGCTCCAGCCGCTCCGGCCGGTCCTTCACGCTGTGATACACCAGCAGCCCGTGCGGCAGCTTCGTCCGGAATTTAAATGAGATCTCGCGACACAGCCTATAATTCATCACATTAATTGTACATCAATTTATTACATGGGCACTATTGTTTCTTTTTTTTTTGTTGCAGTTTATTTTATTTTGATTGGAACGCGCGAACCTCAATTGAAAAGTCTTGATGCCGGGCCCGTCCAGCTGGATGAAGGTGTTGCTCTGCGCGAACATGAAAGTCTTTTCGTAGCCGGACTCCATGAAAGTCAACTCCTGGAAGATGCGGCAATACTTAACTGAGGCATGCATGAGAAAAAAGAAAAGAAATGCAAGCGACGCGCGTGGACTGACCTTTTCTCTCTTGTGCTTGGGCACCGGCGGCCTCGTCGGCTTCGTCGGCGTGAAAGTGGGAACGGGAGTCGTCGACGTCGTCGTCGACAACGTGGTGCTCGTCACCGTGGCGCTCGTCGTCACGAACACGCTACCCTTGGTCACCATGTACGGCGGCAGAGTATCTTTGGTAAGTGAAGCGTACAAAATGAGATTTTCTTTTCTTTTCTTTTCCCATTTTATTATATATAAGGTGAGAGAGTAATTGTTATATACGTACGATCAGGTCCGCCGACGCAGTGGTGCAGGCACTCCTCCTCGGTGTTGAAGCGGTTGTCGTTGCCGAGGCAGCCGCCGTAGACGAAGGTGTGGCATTTGGCCTCGGTCTTGTTGAAGGACCACTTGTGCACGTAGTTTTTGCATGGCCCGTGCTCGGTCTTGACGAAGCACCGGTCGGGCAGGTCGCGCCACACCGGCGTCGCGGGAGCTGCGCCTGCCGTGGCCGTGGGAGAAGCCGTGATCGACTGTAGGGCCGTGCTCGGGGACGACGCCGACGAATGTAGGATCGTCGAGGGACTCGTGGTTAGCTCCTGCTCCTCCTCCTCCTCCTCGTTCGAGGTAAGGCCGAGGTCCCTCTCGTTGGACCGGAGGCAGCTGGCGATGCACAGCAGACTCGTGGCCGCGACGATTCCGAGGACCCACTGCTCCGTCCTCCCCATGATGCCGGATGATCATTCGTCGATGCGGCTTATTCGCGAAACTCCTGGCTCGTCTATGAAGGTAGGAATTTTTTTTTTACTTTTCTTTCTCATTGTCATCAGACCACACTGTAAATATTATTTTTTCATTTGCCGTATTGGGGGAAAAAAAAAAAATGCTCGGCTAGCAAGAAATACGTATAAAAAGATACCATCTCAATTTTGTGTGAGCAAATAAAAGAATAACTTTTCTTTTGTTGGGGATTAAACTTGGATCGTTTGATGTTTTGACCACCAATGCATCATCGGTCGGCACATCATTAGGTACCAGTCGCGTGTCATGAGACGGTACGTGGAATGACAAAGAGGCTCGACGATGATACACACACGAGGCGCCTGGTGCCCATTAAATTCGAGACACGCCCGCGTAGGGACACGCGCCTGCGACCTGTTCCGCGAAACCCTTGGCAATAAAAAAGGCAAATGATAACGCGCACGTGGAGCTTCCTTCCGGGGCAAGCTGTACACATTATAACTATAGCAGGTATACATCGTTAAAAGCGCGCCTTTTGTTGATTCTTCCCTTGCGATGGGTATTTGTCAATAACATTTTATGGCTCGCCAAGTCTCGCTCTCGCGTGCATGGGATTAACGAAAGACACCGAGCCCTCTCATTTCGCGTATCGCTTTGGCCGTGTAAAAGGAAAAAAAAAAAAAAAAAACAACAACAACACGAAAGAGCGAGAGAAAACAAATTTTTCGTCTCGGAGCTCGAGCATTTTATATATTACTCTTTCTGCGGGAATGACATCGTGACAATCTTCGCTCGAAAGGAAAAAAAAAAAAAAAAAAAGCAAAGTACACGGATACGACAAAAATTTATCACTCGACGATATTTTATCATATCATTAGATGGAGCCCTTCGGCCCATTGAATAACGTAATGAATGGAGTAAGGATTTTATTCCTCGAGAAATCCTCGGTGAATGAGTGAATGAGCGTAATTGAGAGGTCACTCGGAATACTCGTACAACCGTCACGCTAATTTCCGTATACCTATAAATTAAATGGTAACCGAGAGAGAGAGAGAGAGAGAGAGGCCAATTGAATATGAAGATTAGATTCTCAAGTACGTTTTGGACAAACGGTTCGCAGAACACTTAACTTGGCAACCAACAGTTTTAGTATTAATGTTACACCTACCTAATTAATACCATACACCATCGTGTCATTTATGTCGGCTTTTGTAGTATACTTGTATGGTACTTACTAACAAACCATCGGTTTATTTACACGCCTATGGGTATGCTCTTCGAAACTAAAGTTTGCATACATGTATATTGCAATGTGCTTTTGTGCCTACATGCACTGCACGGACTCAAAATAATAAGGACTAATAATAATAATAATAATATATAGGCTCGTTTTATTGCACCGAGCACGTGAGCGATGAAAGATGGTAACAAAGGGAGAGGAAGGGAAGGCACTCTCTCTCTCTCTCTCTCTCAATAAAGTATATCGAGTTGTAAGCTCTATCGCCGCACAGAGTAGTGTGTGTATGGTCACTATATGCATGTATGTATATAGGTACACGTTGTATGGGAGCGCGTACGCGTAGTCTTAATGGGGGACGGCCGTTCATGACCAAGAATCTCTCGCAAAGAAGGAAGTCGTTAGCGCCCAGAGAACCCCCACATGTAGAGGGATCTATGTACCTTTTTCTTTTTTCTCCCAAATCCGTCCAACTTGAATTTATGGGGGCGTGCAAGGTGTACCTACAATTATTATTATTGCCAACGAATACCGATCCATACCGATCACTCCGCGATTTGGAGCGCATAAGTTGTACATCTGATGAGCTTAAATGTTGGAGCTCTCGTTTACAATTCACGAGGAGACGACGAGGATGTCCTTGCTTGGTTGCGGCAGCACCGGCACTTTGGATGTACCATATATTGTAATGTAGGTACGCGTTACGCGTGGATCACACTTTCGAAGCCTCTCTCTCTGTCTCTCTTGTGCTCTTCATCTCGCCGAAGCATTAGCAGCAGCTCGACGGCGGCGGCGGATGTGCGCGGGCTGGCTCAATTGTCTTGTCTCTCAGCAGCTCTCTCTCTCTCTGTATTACACAGCAGCACACCAGGCAACGATGATGGCATAAACCAACTCTGCTGCTGTTGAAAGCTCGTTAACTCGTGCTCAGATTCCCCTCCTCCACCCCCGAAGCTTTACGACTTGGGGGGGGGGGGAAATAAGCTTCGACACCTGTTGGCATCACAAATCCACATGTGTGCCTTACTTTCGAGCTATATAAAGCTGATTTTTCTCAAGCTAAGCGCAAATTATAAATGATGCAAGTATGTCGTTTGCCACCCGCATGGATCGGCCACTACTGCTACCTACACTCAATGAGAGCACTGAACCAGCCTGTGTCTGCCTCCTGAACTTGAAAATTACTGCACGTGTAAACAAATATTCTAGGGCTGCACAAAACTTTTTGTTCCAAGCTTCTATGTACTACATCTGCACACCCAATAACCCATATACATGCAGTTGCTATGTTTATTACATGCAGCTAATAGCAGGTATAATAATACCATGCGAATACAGGGAAAAGAGTGGGTCGGTCGATGTATCGAGCGGCGCTATATAGCTGAGCTTTTAACTCTGTCGCGTGATCTCTACACACACGCATGCTCTACTTTTTCTTTCTTTTGCACTCCGCGTATGGATGAGTACGGATATAGGCACAGGGTACCTCCTGTAAACTCGCTCGAACCCTCATACCATCTTGAACTTGCTCGCTGGACCATTTTCATTTAATTTCCACAGGTAACCACGCGGATCCGTTGGGTTAGGATTTGTATATAATCTTCGTCACTATCTATTAATTTAGAATTTCTTGTCACGCGTTTCATTCGATCTCTTCTACGTTTAGGGAGCGATCCCAATACGTATTGGCTATTTGGATAAAAAAATTTAAAAAAAAAATCAGTGATGGTATCGCGATCACGTTAGCCGGCCTACGCGCAACTATGACTGCACGTAGAGGAGACGATCCTATTTGCACCCCCCTGACATCGTGGTTCTGTCCTAGCGTGACTTGCCTTAATTTTAATAATATACCTCGCACGCATCAATTGCCGGACAATGACGCGAAATTTTTCCATTTTTTATTTATCTTGCGGAGTAACGTGACTTATTGGCCTGGAGTACCTATCGGAAGATCGGTAGCTGTCTGTACGCGCGCCCATTGGACATCCAGTCACGCGATATTATTTATGTTATCCTACGTGGGTTTCGGCACCGAGTCCAGTTCAGTCACGTATTCGACACCCTACATTAGTCAAGATTCACGCATGCAATGATTACAATATAGGGGTTATTGTGCTCACATTTGAATTGTACTTCGATTTCGAGGGCCTCGGGAAAGTATGATTTTTTTCTTTTTTTTGCTGTACCGTCGAGTCGTGCCAATTTTAACCGAGGATAAAATTGAATCAAACGATTGTATTACCACACAAAGTCCCTGTTGATCGGTTCCCTTGTGACTCATCGCGACCGATTGGATACACTGAATTATCATCATTCCTGGCTGATACCAAAAGATCAATGTACACATACTCGGGTAAGATAATGAACGCAAACATTTGTACGTGCCAACGTGATATGTAGAAAAAAAAAACAGTCTATATCCACGCGCACACGCTTATTTATAGATTATCATGGATTTTATTCGTAAGCCGTCCTCGTGAGTGAGCTTAATCACTAAAACGGATTTTGAGAAAATAAAGGTATCTTCCTCTTGTAAAGATATGGTTTTCTTTTTTTTTTTTTTTTCTAGTTAAAAAGGCGCGAATCGAGTGTAAGTAGGTACAACTGCATCAGGTAAATAAAAATGCTCACCGAAAAGTGGCCGAAGGCAAGTCGGGTTTGTTGCTCGCTCGCGAGAGCCGCGCCTGTGTGCACCTTTAATTAATCACGTGCTCGGCCTAGCCAGCCGCCGCGACAGCAGCGCGAGCGAGGCCGTCGTCATCGCCGTCTTTGGTGTCACAACGGCACCAGCGGCAGGGGCTGCGCCGAAGCTATCGATGGTCCTTGTCGACGGCTCGTGATGCGCTGCTCCCAACCGGCTGCTCTCCAGCATGTTATTCTCACCGCGCTGCTGTTGTGCGATGCACCTGGTTTTCGATACCAATTAGCCTTCACATCATCATCTATTCCTTGCCGATTCTCATATGTATGCAACTGTGCCTTTTATTTAGATTCCGATTCTTCTTGGGCTGGTGCTGTAAAATCGCTCATGGTTTTTCTCTTTAACATCTCGCCAGCAAAAATTTCATTCTCACGAATTTACCGATCCACACGGTGCGAGGTCGTGTGATAGCGGGCCACATAGATTTTTTTAAATAAAGTACGAGCAATTTTAAAGAAATTTTGCACAAAAATTTTAAAAATACTAAAGGAATGTGCAATTATCAAGTTAATTTTACCGAAAAAAAAGTTGCCTTCGTGATAAATTAGCATTGCTTCTAGTGTTAGTTGGACGAAGGATTACAATGTATGAAGGCAACAAAACAATTTTAGATACATAGATAGGTATTAGGAGGCATCAAGTTAAGCACGTGAAAGCTTGCTGCACGCAAATACGTATGTTCATGCAAATTTAAATGACAAGTAAAACAGTTATGCCAGATAACAGCACATAATATGATAAAGCACGAAGGTACAATTTGTCTAATACCTATAACTATATAAGTATACTCTTTTACAGCCAGTAATACTCACCTCGCCTACACACGAGTATATCCTGTATCCACGCGCAGTTTGCCAAATTTTGCCTAATCACACAAAACCAAACCAATGGGTATTTTCTTTTTTTTGCGCAATAAAATAAACAGTGCAGTAATATATATACAAGTACGGTATGGTGAACGTGAATTTGTTTCTAAAAATCAAATGGGAGTGCCAAAAAGGAAGGATCGAGAAAGAGAAAAAAAAAAAAAAAAACTAAAAGAGGAAGAAGCGCGAACGGAGGAGGTCTGCTGGCGGCGCGGCAGCCTCGCGCCTGACGACTGTCGGCCGGCTTTGCCGGCAGCCGAGCCCTGCGTGTTTTCCGCTGCTATCTCCCCTCCTACTTTTGCGGCCGATTTGGCTCTATAGGCACTGTCGTTGTTGGTTCCGTGTACCTACTTATCGTTGAAACGGCCCTCGCTTCGGGATCGGATGGCCCGCTCTGGGGAGGGGACTACGAAAAGTGTACCCACTTACTCACCCTCGATTGTTCGAGCCCAAAGATTTCCTAAAAATTTTTCAAAAGTTGTAGCTTGAAACGAAGTAGCGATCAATGTCATCGAAAATCGTTAAATTGTGCCGATGAGAAAAATAATGATAGGTGCTGGGTATGGATATAGACACCATACAGTTTATAGCATATATAATCTCGAGCAGAGACGAGCCAGCAAGTAAAGTCACATGTGGTTCCATGGGGGTTACAAGACGAGAGAGAGAGACGATTGGAAGTGTAACCAAATAAACTGAATAATAGACAAATTGACCCTAAGCGTTCGTTAGCCGCGTGTCGGAAGGTCGTACAGTTGCTGAGTTTCTCCTCGCCTCCGTATGTATACCTACCACCTATATACTTGTATGCGCTATACGTGTCATGTTGTAAGTACACTCGTCATAAAAGCAATGTCATATGCACGGTCATAATGTGAAAAAAGCGTAAATTATTTTCCTTTGTTTTTGAGATGACGATGGTCTCTGCACAAAAATTGTACCTAATTGATCGGCTCGCTCTCTCCATACTTTGAAGCTGACTTACGTCGTGCATAGACCACCTAATCTCCAAAAAATGCGACCGACGAAAATCGAGAAAAAGTCCGTTAGAAAAGAAAAGAAAAGGAAAAAAAGGCTCAGAATGCTATTGTACACTATAGTCCAAGCGAGGCTGCAATTTTGGGCGGCGATGCGTCACGCTCCCGTCCCTCTCGGCCCCCATCGAAATAAGTCATAAGCCCGCCGCCAGAGCAAACAAGTAAACAGAGCGTTTACACAGAGTCCCGGAGGTAATGGAAGGAGAACAACGATGAGGCTATACGAAGGTATAGGATGAACACAACACCAGCCATCATCAGCACCGCGAGCCGAAGATAAGATTAGGGGAGAGAGGCTCTCTCGTCATGGGCAGGGCCCTTTTTCTCCTGCTCGTGTTATCCCGCGCGGTGATATTATACCTATACCTACCGCGTCGAACATGCCGTTCCCGTGGAATAACATACAACATAATCTTATCTGTCGAGAGGGACGAACCATACAATACATGCAGATACGGACAGATGTATCACCGCAACTCACGCAGGAAACTTTTTTCAAGTCTCCGCGTTTTCATCATGTATCATAAACTGGTACAGGTTGTCGATCAATCGCATAATGAAATGTAAACTTGAATCGCTCGCTCGATAATCGTCGAAACGACAAGGCGACAAACAAATTATTAATAATATTCGATAATGTTGCGAAGGTGGTGGTGGTGGTGGTAGTGAGATCCGAACGCATCTGCGCGAACCTTTCCAAGCTACAGCTGTCATGTGATAGGCGGGCATCGTGACGTTGTTGACTTACGCTCAAGCTGTGTGTTTGTTAGAATTTTTCCGATTTAGATTCGTTTGTCGAAGGAGAGTCGATAATTCGAATGGAAGGAGGTGGTGGGTGTTGTGTCGCTTGAGAGGACCTAGCTCCAATATCATATATACTACTTTCATCGGGTATACTTAATAGAGGACAACAGAGGGACTCGCAATATCCCATTGGGGCATTTCGCAGCGCCTAACACAATATTGAAGCTGCTAATCTTCGCAAACGTCATTAACGGAGCCAAGCGTAACGCGATTAAGCTCCGGATAAAGAGGTGCCGCGAATGGGAGGCGCAATAACATTAGCGCCAGCTAAAATCTATGACCCACATGTTGCATCATCTTACGTTATGTATAGGTATGCGCCTGTTGCTTGCATTACAATATACTTACCAACGTACACCGTGTTTGACTACTCTGCTGCTGAAGTTTATCTAGCCAAATTACATGTACATGCATATAATTTTACCTCGTTTGGGTATGAAGAAAAAAAAAATGCAATTTTTCACTATAAGTAACAGTTCGAGTGAATGGGGCCTTTATCTATAGTCTGATAGATTCAAGATTCAAATCACCATTTAATGGTGGTTGAATCGCAATTGAATTTCATTTGAATACCTTTTGAATCTCGAATTTTGAAAGAAAAATGTTGGTAAATGTATGGGTATAACACGCTGCGAAAAAGAAAAAATATTTCGATGAGCCGTGATTAGATTCATATGAATGTTCAGTTTTATTGAAAATAAGAATTATTTGATCATTTCATGAAATGAAGGAAACTGAATTAATGTAAAAATCAAGGTAAATATGGTTTCTTTATTAAGGTAGCTCCCTTGTCTACTGCTCTAGTCAAGTAGGTGAGTTTCACTTGTGTATGTATACGTATATACGTACATCAGTGTTCGTATTCTGCTACCGTCATTTATAACCATGAAGCTGATTTTTACGTCTTTCTTGGCAAATATCTTTGGAAAATGCCCCATTACCAGCATTTTACGTGACAGGATTGAGAAGAACAGGGATTTTTCTACAAGTGCATTATAATTTGTCTGCTCAGGTTTTTTATTGTGTGTTAGGAAATGCCTGTAAAGCTGATGTTTTTATACTCTGCCATTTGAGCTCGTGTTAAAATATTTAACTTTAAGCTAAAATATATCGAGATTTGGTTCCACTTGGGGTATAAACAAGGACACCGTTGGATTCAGTGGATTAAAATCTATTGAATGAAACATACTTCATTCCGTAGGGTTTCGCAAGGGAGCTACCTTAATTAGTATTTTTACACCGTTCGATTTTTGTGTCATGTGATATTACCAAAACGATGTTTAAACATCAATATCTTAAAAAGTTTCTAATACAATTATACCATTTTATTAGATATATATCGTAGGCCAATTTCACATTAATTTTATTAGGGATTCAAAAATGATACAAGATTCAACAGAGATTTAAATAAAGATTCAAATCTTTTGAATCCCGTGGACAGCCCCTCTGTGCTTATCGTCATACGTATTGTGTAATATAGCAGTATAGTTACATAGGCATGCGTGTACGTACATGGTAAGTATGGTAGACAAATGGAGTGTTTCGATGGATTGAAAATTATTTATTAATATGTACAGAAAAGTAAGCACGTAAAGTCAGTTGAAGCAAATTTTCTTTGATGATCGTCGATAAACTCAGTCTTGAAGAAACGAAAATAAAGGCCAACTCCTTACGAGCTGCTGGTCGTCTTTTCGATCCAGTCGAGGTAACTGTAGACGCGCGTGTAAAAGTCCGGCAGTCCAAGGGCGCATCCCATGATACCATACGAGACCACACCGACGAGGTTGCCGTCAGCCATCAGTGGACCACCCGAGTCTCCCTAAACAAAATTCACCGAGGCATCAACGTAAAATTACCTGCGCGCAGCTGAGTATATATATATACTTACGTTGCAGACGCCCTGGTTCTGTTTGGTGAAGGCACAGATCTTTGACGAGCTGAACATCGGGAAGAGGGTCTTCTTCGAGCAGGCCCACCTGCTCAGGAGGAAAGTGTTGAGGTACTGGAGCTCGTCGGGAAGGTCGGCGGAGGTGCCACCACCCTGCAAACACCACCATCATTTACATGGTTGTACGTGTGAAAATTAAGTTGGGGAAGGGCAATTTTGGGACTCACCTTGACGAGACCCCAGCCGGAGACGACCGCGGGGTAATTGTTCTCCTTGATGTTGGTGGTGGGCAGGGGAATGGGCTTGGTCACCTCGTCGAACTCGATGGTTCGGTTGACCTTGATGAGGCCGATGTCGTTTCTCACGAAAAACATCATGCTGAATTTTTGGTGCGGGATAACCTTCTCGGATCGGTAAGCGACGCCGCCCTCTGACAGCCTGTTGGTCCCGGTGATGACGGTAATATCCCTGTCACCCATTCTGGCGTGCAAAAATATACATGTTTTGAAGAGGATCGTGATGCCATTGTCTCATTACAACAAGCCCTGCGTACACAACAAATGCTCACTTTTGCAGGCAATGGGCCGCCGTTACGATCCACTGGTCGTTTATGATCGAGCCACCGCAAAAGTGCCTACCGTTCAGCCGGCGGAGGGATACCTGGTGTGGGAAAGCTCCGATCTCAGCAATGTTGCCTCCAACTATGCGGCTGCTCATGACGTTGATCTCAACCTCGCCTGTTTGTTTTATTTATTTTATTTTATTTTATTTTATTTATTTATTTATTTTTTTTATATTTACTATACACTTTATTGTTACTATCGTGAAATGATTATTATGAGTTACATAAATATATAAATGATGTAATGGAATACTGACCATAGGCCATCGCCAAAAGGGCCGCTACGATGGTTGTCGTGAAGGACTTCATGGCTGCTCGCCGTCTGAATCTCTGAGCTGATCAGTTTGCACGGAGGTGCTTTATATTTTGCTCTAGCCATCTGATAAAATTCCCTCGTTTCTGGTAGATCCGATGTTAATCTATACCGATCTGCGAAACGAAGGTTACACTGGGGTCGAAAAAAAAATATTTGCAAGAGCCGCATGTACAACACTCGTGGCACCAATTGAGTTTGCCAGCGGCAAGACTCGGAATTCGTGTGGAACTCAGTTCACACTTGTTATACGACTCTTACTTTAAGAACAATATTTTTATTAGTATGACACGAATAGCGATACGATTATAAATATCTTACATTATTGTTCTACATCCGCACTTACACACCTGTCCTCATTTATTATGCGTTTGATTTTCCTTGTGTCGATTATTTGTGTAATTATTATACTCACAACTACGGGGTTCTAAATTTATTTTTTTCGTGTTTTTAGGAAAAAATGTACAGCTTTTCCTTGATTTCTTTTTTTAACGCTTAGATAAGCTCGTATTTCGTTGGTGGTAGGACGTGATACATATAATACACAAAGATTTAAAAAAAAATAGGTTTTTTTTTAACAATGAGCTCTCATAGTATACATTTATTGTTCTACAAAAATACTATAATTTATTTATTGATATTGATGTTTAGTAATGTATTTCATGCAATAAATTTTGACATATACTGCAAATAATAATTAGAATTCATTTGAAAAATTAAACCTAATTTTTTTTTATCCAAGAAATGCCAAACTTTTATCACTTAAAATATGAAATCGTTATCCCTACAAATAATCACTCGGTTATCTTGTGATAATGAAATCGTAAAAATTATTTATAACAGAATCAGTGCAAATTATTTTGCATTTTGATACAAACAAATATTCATTTGATCAGATATGATACGAAAAGAAAAAGAAATATAAGTGGAAGTAACGACGTATGTTGGTAACGATGGTGATTCTGTAGTATATTTTTAATGATAAAGATATATAAATGATGCATAACATAACAAGCATAACAAGATTTCCCAAAAGTAAAGAAAATTGATGAACTTATGTATCCTTTATTGTTATATCAGTATCTGTTGTAGGTATACATAAATGATATTTTTATCTCAAAGGTTTTTTAGTCTTTTCGTGTGAAGATTTCTTCATTACCCAGAGACTGGTGTAATTGTGAGCATAAACTGTGAGATGGCATTACTAGTAAATAAAAGTTTTTGCAGTTGAAATTCAATAATTTACATTGAGTACTAAAATATACAAAGAGAGATATAGTGTGTAAACTATAACGCCCGTATTTTATTTGAAAAATTACAGAGGAGAATTACCTGGGTAAAATCCATAAATTTCCATTTTGTTTTTCAGGCGGGGCACTTAGGAGCTCAATCTTATATCTATTTGTTTAAAGAAACTCTAATGCGACATAGCGCTAATTTTTATTATTTTCGTGTGATTTTTAAATAAAATGTTACTTAGGGTAGTTATTTTCGTTTTTGGTGGGCAAAATACAAAAATCAAAGATTAGCTTTTAACTGTAAATATCATATAAACAGTATACATAAAGTATCAAGAGGTGAGTCAAAATCTTATCTAAGAGTTTTGAATAATACACGTGTATATCTATCAACAACAACGAAATAATGTGCGCCTGATGGGTAGATACATATGTCACGAGCAGTAGGTGCATGTAAAATTGGTAAGTATATTTTTTACGTAAACCCGCATTCTTTAGCGTTCGTTCACTATATGGCAGTAAAATATACAGTACGGTACAGACCGGCGATGATGAGTTGGGAGAATGTCAAAGAAAGCAAAGAAATAAGCATAGGAGGAAGAAAAGGTCCGAAAAAAAACGAAAAAAAAAAACGTAAATGTGTACTCTACTCGTCTTATCTTGCTTAAGAACTTCATGACAGGCTGCCCGCCTGCACGACTCTGTATAATTTTAGGCACGACCAATGTATGCTAGTGCCTGATAATTTTGTCAGAGCTTAGAAATCGTCTATTGTTAGTAAAAAAATTTTTTTAACTGAGTATGAAGGTGATTTATGTTTTTCACATAGTGTGCGTGTCTAGTCCACTCTCATTAAGAAAAAAAATTTATTAATCTTTTAAACCCCAAATTATGCGAGCGATTAAAAATTCGGCAATTTTTTAATTCAAAAATTTAAATGTTTCTGTCATGCCATAGCGTTTGAATTGTTAGTGGTAATAATTCAGACTGTCTATGAGGTATATTTGGTTGCTGTAATAGTTTTACAAGCGTTAGCAAGGGCTTGGCCAACGCAAACAAAAAAAAAATTTTCTAAATATTTTTGATTTCAAATGATCCCTTATTTCGCGACATAAACGTTATTTATTAAAAATATTAATCAGAGAATTTTAATTTTGCAATATTGCAATAGTTTTAAAATCAAAAAAAGTAATAATTAAGACTGACTACAAGGTTTATTTGATCGCTGTAATAGTTATACCAGCGACAGCAGGGGCTTAGTCAACGCAAATAAAAAAAAATTTTTTTGGTCCCAAATTATCGCTTATTTTGTAATTGATACGTTATTTCGTAAGATGCGGGCAATTCTATTTCGGCAACTTTTTTTTCTTAAGATTTTGAATTTTTTTTCATGCAAAAATTTTGTATAGTTTCCTAGTAATACAGGAAGCTGTCCAAAAAAATATTCTTCCTTTTAAACATTTTTCAAACAATCGCCAAAGCCTATAACTCTAAAATAAAAAAAAAAATTTTAATAAATTTTAATAATCTCAAATCAAGTCTTATTCAGCTTTTTCTTTAATTTTAATAATCTCAAATAAGGGCTTATTTCGCTCTATCTCCATTATTTACGGAGATACGGGCATTGTAAGTTTTGGCAATTTTTAGCTTCTTTTATATCGAATATTCGACAATCTTATAGCTTTGTCAAGGTCCCTAGTGTTAAAAGGAGCTGTCCTAAAGGATATTTCTTTCTTTAAAACATTTTTCAAACGATCGCCAAAACCTATAACTCTAGAATAAAAAAAACAATTTTAATTAATTTTCATGATCTCAAATTAGGGTTTATTTTGCTATATCTCCATTATTTACGGAGATACGGGCATTTTAAGTTTTGGAAATTCTTAACTTCTTACATATCGAATTCTCGTCAATTTTATAGCTTTATAAAGGTCCCTAGTGATAAAAGGAGCTGTCCTAAAGAATATCTTTTCCTTTAAAACATTTTCAAACCATCGCCAAAGCCTACAACTCTAGATTGATAAAAAAAAAATTTTAATTAATTTTCATGATCTCAAATTAGGGTTTATTTTGCTATATCTCCATTATTTACGGAGATACGGGCATTTTAAGTTTTGGAAATTCTTAGCTCCTTACATATCGAATTCTCGTCAATTTTATAGCTTTGTAAAGGTCCCTAGTGATAAAAAGAGCTGTCCTAAAGGATATCTCATCCTTTAAAACATTTTCAAACGATTGCCAAAGCCTAAAACTCTAGATTAATAAAAAAAAAATTTTAATTAATATTAATGATCTCAAATTAGGGCTTATTTCGCTCTATCTCCTTTATTTACGGAGATACGGGCATTTTAAGTTTTGGCAATTTTCAGCTTCTTATATTTTGAATATCCGTCAATTTTATAGCTTTGTAAAGGTTCCTAGTGATAAAAGAAGCTGTCCTAGAGGATATTCCTTTCTTAGAAAAATTTTTCAAACGATTGCCAAAACCTATAACTCTAGAATTAATAAAAACCAATTTTAATTAATTCTTATGATCTCAAATTAGGGCTTATTTTGCTATATCTCCATTATTTGCGGAGATACGGGCATTTTAAGTTTTGGAAATTCTTAGCTCCTTATATATCGAATTCTCGTCAATTTTACAGCTTTGTAAAGATCCCTAGTGATAAAAGGAGCTGTTCTAGAGGATATCTCATCCTTTAAAACATTTTTAAACGATCGCCAAAGCCTACAACTCTAGAATGAAAAAATTAAATTAGAATAAATTTTAATGATCTTAAATTAGGGCTTATTTCGCTTTATCTTCATTATTTTCGGAGATACGGGCATTTTAAGTTTTGGAAATTCTTAACTTCTTACATATCGAATTCTCGTCAAATTTATAGCTTTGTAAAGGTCCCTAGTGATAAAAGGAGCTGTCCTAAAGGATATCTCATCCTTTAAAACATTTTCAAACGATTGCCAAAGCCTAAAACTCTAGATTAATAAAAAAAAAATTTTAATTAATATTAATGATCTCAAATTAGGGCTTATTTCGCTCTATCTCCTTTATTTACGGAGATACGGGCATTTTAAGTTTTGGCAATTTTCAGCTTCTTATATTTTGAATATCCGTCAATTTTATAGCTTTGTAAAGGTTCCTAGTGATAAAAGAAGCTGTCCTAAAGGATATTCCTTTCTTAGAAAAATTTTTCAAACGATTGCCAAAACCTATAACTCTAGAATAAAAAAAACAATTTTAATTAATTTTCATGATCTCAAATTAGGGTTTATTTTGCTATATCTCCATTATTTACGGAGATACGGGCATTTTAAGTTCTGGAAATTCTTAACTTCTTACATATCGAATTCTCGTCAATTTAATAGCTTTATAAAGGTCCCTAGTAATAAAAGAAGCTGTCCTAAAGGATATTCATTCCTTTAAAACATTTTTTAAACGATCGCCAAAGCCTACAACTCTAGAATGAAAAAATTAAATTTTAATAAATTTTAATGATCTTAAATTAGGGCTTGTTTTGCTATATCTCCATTATTTACGGAGATACGGTCATTTTAAGTTTTGGAAATTCTTAGCTCCTTATCTATCGAATTCTCGTCAATTTTATAGCTTTGTAAAGATCCCTAGTAATAAAAGGGGCTGTCCTATAGGATATCTCATCCTTTAAAACATTTTTTAACGATCGCCAAAGCCTACAACTCTAGATTAAAAAAAAAATTTAATAATTGTTAATGATCTCAAATTAGGGCTTATTTAGCTC